GCGCTCTGCCGGAGGTGTTCTGGCAAGATCGCTGTCAGTGGCGGTTAGGTGTCGCAGAGCGCACAGAAGCGCCATGAGAGCGACTTAATAGTAGTAATAGTACAGTAATACATTTTAGACTTTTCTTTTCTTTCACGAAATGAAAAAATAAACCTTCTAAGTGCAAAACTTTGAAAGAAACACATCGGAGAGTACTATTTTTGGCTACCGGAAGGAGGGGGAGGGGGGAGGGTGGGCAAGGTTGCCACCTCCTTCTCAAATTCAAGTATACTTAAAGGGGTAATAATGCTCCTTCAATTTAACTTCCTCAAATCCTGAAAAAAGATATAAAAATGTGTTTACAATGAAAGAATCATAGATCTGAGGGGACTGGGGAGAGGAGAGGGATGTTTAGGGGGGCTGGGGGGGGGGCAGCCAATGGGTGAAACAAAAAATTTGGGACCTTGGTTATAGAAGTCAAAGTATGAAAATCATACAATTCATCCAAAAATAGAGAAAAAAGCATTGTAGCCATCAAATTACCATATATTCTCAATACGGGCCTTGCAGGCCCAGGTTAGTCTTTCGTGTAGGTAAAAACGGTCAGTCATCTAAGGGTTAAAACGTCTAGAAATGATGAAATTTCAACTTTTTTTTCTTTCTTCTTCTTGGAAGATGACAATACTTCCTCTACCCTAGGGGAGTTCGTGGAGACTAAATAATTTTTCTTTCACAGGAAAAGTGGTTAGGCACTACTGGAACCCTTTGAGAAGGGACAACGCGGGGCATTTGTGCGCTAGGGCCTGTAGTAGGTGCCTGACCACTATTCCCGCCAAAAAAGTCGAATCGATCACGGAAATACGCAAAAAACGAGAATGTGCCTACTTTTACCCCTACCTACCATACCACTTTTCTGACTTGTTCGTGATCGATTTTCGTACAGGAAGTGGATACTAGTTGAGATAAAGCAAAAGAGGAGGAGGAGTTGTATGAACAGTAGCGCATTTAGTTACTGGCGCTTGCATAAATGCAGAAGCTGGTTCATTTAATTTTGAATGATTTTGTTTTGGGAATTTTAGAATGAAGTATCCGGTTTTATATCGACGCAATAATTTTCTCACTTACTTTCTTTCTTTTTCGCCCAATGCAGATATTTTGCATAATTGCATAAATGCAAATATTTGCATCGGGCGAAAAAGAAAGAAAGTAAGTGACCATGATTCCAGATAAAGAAAACAAAGAAGTAGTAGCAATTATTTTCTGATCAAAAAAATGAACGCTGAAGTTCTGCAGAGATTTGTATCCTTACTTTAAACAAGCGGAAAATTTTTGATGCGTTTTTCAAGAGAATGAGCAATTTTTGTTATAGCACTAAGCAAGGAATAATTTTGATAGTCTTCGTTGCCAAAATAACTTTGTAGCTTCTGTTTCGGGAACTTTTCATGATGATCAGTTCTCAATAATTTTGAGTTGATTTTCTTTTTGCGGAAGGGATAAAAGTGGAGGTGAAGTTCTGAGCTCACAAGAGCTGTTCTAGTTTTTTTTCTCTTTTTTTTTTCCTGGGTTCTCGGATTCTTCACTGAGATTCTATTTGAATTGAGCAGGGTGTCTACTGAGGTCCACAAAAATAAAATAAGTACTTTTTAGGTACTTAAGGAAAAATTTAAGTACCTCGCCTTGGGGAAAAATTAAGTACTTTTTAAGTACCTTTTCGCGACGTATTAGTCCAGTCATATGGGGATTCTATGCAGTTTTAAGGGCGGAACTTTTTTTCTTGCCTGATTTCCCATCCATAGAGGGTCCTTAACGAGAATCAAAATTTGCGACATCGGCACGTAATGGGACCCCCCCCAAAATCGAAAAAAACGACCAAAAATCAGCGATTTTTTCTCGTTTTTCGGCTAATATCGCAAAAACCGCTCTTTTTTCGAGTAAGTATGTAAGAACTTGCCTTAAAGTAGATAAAATAACGGACATTTTCCACCCAGTCCGAATTTTTCTGATAAATAATATGCCCACAACAAGGTTGCCAAAAAAAATCCCAAAATGTCCAAAATTTCATTTTTTTAAGGTTTTACTACTTACTACTTACTACTTTAACTTTTTTTCCAGCAATTTTAGAAGGTAAGTGTAACTGCCGAAATGAAAGTAGATTCAAAATGCTACAATTTCGTGTATCAGACTTTGCCCTAGGGCGTAACAAGACGGCTTCGCGGCGTTGCCAAAGTTCGGTCTCCAAAGGCAATTTCCGCGGCGGTGCATTTCACGCAACCGCTCCACTCAATTTAACCTGAAAAATTTTGCGAAAAACTTTCTGGAATATGTTTTCCATGTATTTTTTATCCAGTAAAACGCTATTTTGCAGTTTCAGTCGTCAACTACTGAAATTGCAAAATAGCGTTTTTCGAGATAAAAACACAGTGAAAATGGTTTCGCGCCGTTATCTGATTGGGGAGGGGGAGGAATGGGGGTTGGGGGAAGGGATGCCGAGAGGGGTGAAATCTCTCATTTTATTAATTATAGAGGATATTTAATGCCTTAAAGCAAAATGAAACGTTATGGAGACCATAAAACGTTCCTCATGATGTAGAACTATGATGCAACTTTGCAGCCGATTTCGGCCGTGCGAGTCTCCGACTTCAAGCGCTCCTGACTTCCGCTGAAACAATCACTAGTCCAAAAACTAGGAGTGATCCTATTACCATTTTTTGTCTATTTTAATTTTTGTGGTACCAATTTTGCCGAAAAACCGCTGGGAAAAAAGATATTTGAGAGAACCGCAAAAAATTTTGATTTTTTTCAAATTTCCCGCTATTTACAGCGCGCTCTGGCGGATGGTGTACGCATGTTATCATAACTTTGATACATGATTCTAAACCATAATTTTGTGTACTTTCATTCTGCAAATAACTCTTTTAGCCGCCCGACGCACAAGGAACGAGTTATTGTCGATTTTTAGTCAAAAAATGAGATTTGGCAACGTTTTTTCAAGATGGCGGCTTTAACGGCAAAAATCGAAGGCAGAAAACTTCAGATTCGGTTTCAGCGCTAAGAAATACATAAGAACATATTCCAGAAAGTTTTTCGCAAAATTTTTCAGGTAAAATTGAGTGGAGCGGTTGCGTGAAATGCACCGCCGCGGAAATTGCCTTTGGAGACCGAACTTTGGCAACGCCGCGAAGCCGTCTTGTTACGCCCTAGGGCAAAGTCTGATACACGAAATTGTAGCATTTTGAATCTACTTTCATTTCGGCGGTTACACTTACCTTCTAAAATTGCTGGAAAAAAAGTTACAAGCAAAAAACCTTAAAAAAATGAAATTTTGGACATTTTGGGATTTTTTTTGGCAACCTTGTTGTGGGCATATTATTTATCAGAAAAATTCGGACTGGGTGGAAAATTTCCGTTATTTTATCTACTTTAAGGCAAGTTCTTACATACTTACTCGATTATAGGATTTAGTGTAATATTGTCATGTGAAGGTTGGTCAAACTGCCTTCTTCACGGCAGGAGTCGGATTCTGAAGTTTGGCCGAAAAAAGAGCGGTTTTTGCGATATTAGCCGAAAAACGAGAAAAAATCGCCGATTTTTGGTCGTTTTTTTCGATTTTGGGGGGGTTCCCATAAAGTGCCGATGTCGCAAATTTTGATTCTCGTTAAGGACCCTCTATGGATGGGAAATCAGGCGAGAAAAAAAGTTCCGCTCTTAAAATCGCATGGCGGCCATTATTATCCTCAAATGACTGATCGCAATTCTTCGATTTTGGCACTGCCGCGCGCATCACTTCGGCTATTCCCGTGGCCTTTTCGGCTGTTTCCGTCAAATCGAGGGAAATGCCTTGTTCCGCTCCTCTACAACAACCGCGAGGTCTTACGGGCTGACATTGTCATAGAATAATAAGGCTACGCCTTATTATTCTATGACATTGTACTAATACGCCTGACGGCCAACGCACAGAGGGTTGCAGAACTATCAGGCGATCTAACTGAACGCGCAGCGCAAAATGCGAAAAATTACGGACCTTCCGCGAGATTTACGTACTTTTTAGGTACTTACGGACCGACCTTAAAAAATGCGTACTTTTTCCGGACTTTACGGACTGGTAGACACCCTGCAAATTGAGGCAATATATTTCGGCAATTTTTATTCACCGTGGTAAGCAAAGAAAACCGCAAAGAAAGATTTCCGAAAAAAAAGAAGGGTGGAAAAAGGCGTACTAAGTTCTTACTGTTATATTAAACTTTCCTAGGTTCTCGGAACTCTTCATCGAGATCCTGTCTGAATCAATGTAATTTATTTAAGCTGTTTTCTTCCCAGTGGTAAGCAAAAAAATTCCGAAGAGCTCTTGTAAAGGGAGATTTCCGAAAAAAGCAAAGAACATGAAACGGTGTTCTAAGTTCATAGCGTTATACTAACCTTTCCCCAGGTTCTCCGAACTCTTCATCGAGACCCTGTCTGAAGTGATGCAATTTATTTAAGTTGTTTTATTCGCCGTGGTGAGCGAAAAAACTTTAAGAAGCTTTTGCAAAGAGAGATTTTAGAGATAGGAGAAGAGCGGAAAAAGGTGTTCTAAGTTGGTAGTTTGATACTAACCTTTTCCCAGGTTCTCGGAACTTTTCATCGAAACCCTGTTTAATCTGAATTAAGTGGTTTTGGTTTTTCCCCCCTTTTTTTAATGCCATTGGCGGCATAACCTGGGAGTGCCAGCTCGTCAGGCAGCCTGATATATGCCTTCCACTGGAACGCTTCCTATCCTCACTATAGAGTACGTCTGGACGGCGTCTGCGCATCAGGCAGCCTGGTAGGCACCTTAGCTTGCTATCTGAATGCGCTATGTTTATACCTTGGAGCACCTTTGCTTCAGCGGATCAACTTTCATCGCTCAGGAACTATGAGGGTGGCATAAATTCCAACCGCCTAGGAGCCGAGGAACGAACCAGATGGATGTTTGGATCAGTGGGTGAATGGAAGAGTGGTTAATGTGTTTCTGTTTTTATCTTAGGACAGGGCAAGGTACTTACAGAAAAATCATCTGACAGTGTCAAAAGCGGTTTACTGCGGTACTTCACTTTGGAGTTGCACTTGGACTTAGGGTGTGGTGGTGGATTGAAAGAAAAACTGTAATCTTGATGCACATTAGCAGCCGGATACTTGGCACTGGAAAACACCTGGAAAAAACACCAGAGGCATACTTTTACAGCGTCCATATATTTAAGCAGAATATCTAGCTTGGCAAGTATGGAAAAGTACAAAATGAAGCGATTGCTATTGGTAATGAAAGAAAATATTGCACATCAACCTTTAAGTACTTGAGTTTTCAAAATTGCATCTCGGATGTTTCAAGTGTGTTAATTTGAAAGATAACTTAGCTAACTGTAGCTTTTAAAGTGATCTCTTGATGCATTTTCTGGAAATTTCAGAGCGGCGCTAATTCTCTCGGCTCTCTGTAGAGTTCATAGGAACTCTTTCTCCTTGATCAATCTGACTGCTCATTCATGGCTCATCACCCAGGCAAGATGAACAGTACGTGTGAATGCCCTCACTGCCAGAATGAGCAGTCAAATATACATGAATGATTAAGTAAAATCTGAAGGCCATCAAAATTATTTGGATACATAAATGTGAACTCAAGGCACTGTTAGAGGGAATTGGCAAGAGTAGTGGTGGACAACTTGCAGCTAGCAGACACTCTTCGCACCAAATAAGTGCAGATTCAGAGCCATCAGCTCATTGGAAGTGTCTTTCAGCAGCTATAAGGTCATAAACAGTAGTGTCATAACTTACTTTCGAAAACAGAACTTACTATAGTTGCCTTGCTATTGGTGGAGGCAAGTTTAACGACTTTAGCTCGGACCACTTCACCTCTTCGATTCAATTCAGCTAATATTTTGGTGCGACGGGCAGTACTATTTTCAATATGTCTTAAAACTTGATGAGTCGCAAAGGTCAAATGGTCTAAGGCATTAGCTATTTGCACAATTGTTTCTTCCGGCCTTAGATCTTGATGGATGATAGGAACATGAAGAGTTCGATGTTGAGCCATGTCTCAGATTTGATAGAACAGCATTGTAACCGAGATCTTGATTTTAATATGTAACATAGGAAATAGGAAAATAAAGCTAACGCTATAAGAAAAGGGACATCGAGACAGTATTCGCTGGAGCCATAGAATAATAACTAGCTACTAGCTAGCTGACGCTAAAAGAACCACCACGGCCACGGCAACTTTTTAAATCCTGCTCCTGCTGCAGCCCGATTATTGAATCTATGTCAGCCCGACACGACAAGGCATAGCTGACATGGATACATACATATTATAAATCTATGGAATGATTTCCGTAACCCTTGCGCGGGGGAGCGCTGCAGTCGCGGGCGGGTGACGGGCGTATGTGAATCGCGCGCGGGCACCACTGTTGTGCGCGAGGGTGACTGATCCGGGGGAGGGGGCCATTGTTTCGATTC